TTTTTAAATATTTTTTTATTTACCTGTTACTTTACCGGGAATATTCCCATTAAGATTGAGAATCTCTTAATTTATCATTTTGTCTGTAAAATGTCATAAAAGTAGTGCGGGCAATGTCAATAGTCCTAAAATATTACATTTTAAATAATATAACAGAAGAAAAGCAGCAAATTGATATTTCCAGGAGTTAGAGATTGTCTGTTATTTCTGCTTTATTAGTGACTTAAATGATTATCAAACATTGTCGAATACTTTCCTGTTAATAGATTGAACTCATTGTTTCAGTCCAACATAGAAAACATCTTCAGTTCTGGTGAACGTGATTTTAAACATCAACAGAATCTGATCAAGTGTCTAGAAAGTCAATCATGAAATCAGTTTTGTAAAAAGATATTCACACCGATGAAGGAAGCTGTCGTGCAGAATAATTTGCAAAAATAAATATCGTTAAAATAAAACCCTTTTCTGTACACACACACACCAACACGCATGCACTGACATGACAAACACACACACACACACACACACACACACACTGCTTCTCACACGCTCGGTCACATGATGACATAATGAAATCCAGATTCTCCTCTGGGGAAGCAAACATTGCTTTACACAAAATACTTTTCTGAATGTTTATTATGCTTTGCGAGGCTTCGCTCTGAGAACAGCGGGCCGGTGAGGGAGGGACGCCGCCGGCTGTGTGCGGTCGGTTCGACAATTCAATCACTGACACGTCCTCTGACTTTATTATTTATTTTATCCCTCCGGCCAAATCCTATCCTTCCAAGTGATCGACTCCTCCGTCTCCACATCTGGTTGACTGTCCGTCCGTCCGTACACGTGTCCGTGCCTCCGTGTATCTGATCCATCCGTCATTCGTTTGTCTGTCTTCTTCAGCCAACACATCTTCTGTTTGTCAAGGTGTCCGTCATCCTGCTGTAGCTGTCCGTACGTCCGTCCGTCCACTTGGGTGGTGGACGTCCTGTGGACTCCGAAATGCCTGCAGTGTCAGAGGGGAGACCCTGTCTTTCAGCATCAGGATCCAGAGTCCAGAGAATACACACACACACACACACACACATCTTTGGCCCCTCACTCAGCAGCTCCCCCCCCACCACCACCTTCCCATCATGCTTTGCATGGTTGTATTATGACAGGTGGAGTGTCGGTCGCCACCAGCCGGACTTTCCTACCAGCATCTCTCCTAAACTCTGCTGCAGAGAGTCAGCATGTGTGTGTACATCGACGCATACTGTAGCAATATCAACTGTGTATATTCAAGTGTCTGTACATGTGAACACTTACATGTATTAGATGTGTTAATAACAATAAACTCTATTAGTACCTTTCAATACGCAGAAACAAAGTGCTTTACGATAAAACACAGAGAGAATGAAATAAACAAAAAGTTAAAACCTGAACACACGGAGAGTAAAACAAGCTAAAATGTCATAAAACAAATACAATCACAGAAGAGAAATTCTAAAAAAGTTTGTTTTTAAAAGTGATTTTAAAGACAAGTCAGAGTTTGCAACTCAAGTCTAGGAGCGCTGACTAAGTTTATATCTCCTTTATTTAGGAATCTAGACCTCGGGACATTAAGGAACGACGCTGATAAATAACTCGGGGCGAGGCCTCCAGGCTTCGTAAGTAATATCTTAAAATCAATTCTAAAAACTACAGGTTGCCAGTGTAAGAAAGCCAGGCTGGACTGATTGGAGGAGAAGAAAGAGGGGAAGGAGATGAAGAGACTGAGGGAAGGACGAGCAGGAGGAGGAAAATATGGAGAGTAAGCAGAAGTACTCAGATCTTGAAGGTTACTACGAGGAACCTTCACTTGGTGTTGATTCTGGTGGTCCCTGTGGACTAAAGCTGTAGTGTCTCTGAGCACCAGCGTCCCGTTAGAAACCTCTCATTGTACTGCAGCAGGGTCTGTCTGCTCCTCTCAGTCCTGGTTCTGGTTCTCCCGTGCCTCCCTTCCCTCCAGCAGGTCCGATGACGAGCATTAAGAATAACTCTATAGAAATAGACCATCTTCTCTCTGATGGTCTCTTTACTGATGGAGGTCTGATAGAGGATCAGGACTACACTGAGACTGGTTCAGGACCAGTTAAAGGTTCCTCAAGGTAACTTTAAAGGACATTAGCAATACCACCATGTAGAAATACTCTGTTACAAGAAAAGGTCCTGCATTAAAGTGTGTTAGATAGGATGAAGAGGAGCAGTAGCAGGAGGGGAGAAGAGGATTTAGGATGAAGAGGAG